TTCAAATAATCAATATTGGAGAAAAGCAATGGATGAAGAAATTCATGCCATTGAAAAGAATCAAACATGGGAGCTGACAGACTTACCAGCAAACAAAAGGCAAATTGGAGTAAAGTGGGTGTATAAAACTAAGTACAAGTCCAATGGAGAAATTGATCGTTTTAAAGCAAGGTTGGTAGCAAAAGGGTACAAACAAAAGCCAGGTATTGATTATTTTGAGGTATTCGCTCCTGTAGCGAGATTAGATACAATTCGTATGCTTATCTCTATATCAGCTCAAAATAATTGGAAAATTCATCAAATGGATGTTAAATCTGCTTTTCTGAATGGAACTTTGGAAGAAGAAGTATATGTTGAGCAGCCTGCAGGATATAAAATTAAAGGAAAAGAAGATAAAGTCTACAGATTGAAGAAGGCATTGTATGGTTTAAAGCAAGCACCCAGAGCGTGGTATAAGAAGATTGATTCTTACTTTGTGGATAATGGTTTTCAGAGATGTCCATTTGAACACACTTTGTATATCAAATCAGTTGATCCTGACAATATTCTTATTGTGTGCCTCTATGTTGATGATCTAATTTTTACTGGCAATAATCCAAAAATGTTTGCAGAATTCAGGGAGGCTATGGTTAAAAGTTTTGAAATGACGGATCTGGGCCTAATGTCCTATTTTTTAGGCATCGAGGTTGATCAGCGAGATGATGGAATTTTCATTTCTCAAAAGAAATTCGCAGGTGATATTTTAAAGAAATTCAAGATGGAGAATTCAAAGCCGATTTCAACACCTGTTGAAGAAAAGTTGAAGCTGACAAGTAACATTGAAGGGAAGAAAATCAATCCAACTCTCTATAAAAGTTTGATTGGAAGCCTCAGATATTTAACTGCAACCAGGCCAGATATTGTCTATGGAGTTGGACTACTCAGCAGATTCATGGAAAAACCTCGAGATTCTCATTGGCAGGCAGCTAAAAGAATTCTCAGATACATCAAAGGTACTCTGACAGAAGGAATTTTCTATGATAAAGACTTTGATGTGAATCTTGTTGGATATACAGATAGTGATTGGGCAGGAGATATAGAAACAAGGAAAAGCACGTCAGGATATGCATTCAATCTTGGAAGTGGTACAATATCATGGTCATCAAAGAAGCAACAAGTGGTGGCGCTCTCAACTGCCGAAGCAGAATATATAGCAGCAGCAAGTTGTGCAACCCAAGCTGTGTGGCTGAGAAGAATGCTTGAAGTAATGCATCAGAAGCAAGATAATCCCACAGTGATATTTTGTGATAACAAGTCAGCAATTGCAATATGCAAAAATCCTGTATTTCATGAACGGTCTAAGCACATAGATATTTAGGCATCGAGGTTGATCAGCGAGATGATGGAATTTTCATTTCTCAAAAGAAATTCGCAGGTGATATTTTAAAGAAATTTTGTACATAGTCGGCAATTTAAGAGAAAACAATGGTTACTTGCAAGTTTGAATAATTGAAACTTGTACGTGTTATACGTCCCTTATTGCGCTTTAATTAAACTAAATTAAGCATTAATAAAATAAGAGGTTGGCCTATTCTCTCTTACCACATCCGTTATAGAAAAACAAGTGAAGAAAAAGAGTTATTATATTCAATCTAGAATGTGATGAATCAAAAAACTATTCAATCTATAATGTACAGATTTTTTAACTTGCTTTAATTAATCAACCAAATCTGCGGTCAAAGGCATCATTACATATAGATGCAAGCTGCAAGCACACGTGGGTATACAATTATTCTACCATTTCGTCTTCAGAATAAGGAAATTATTATTTTTCAGAAGATAGTTTCTTTATTTTATTATAATTAATATTAAATTATCAATCGTGATTCTTAAACAAGTATGAGTTCAACCCCAAGCGTGTGATTCAACGATAGGGGTTGATCCACGCTTAAGCAAGGTCAGGGATTCGAATCCTGCCTTGTATATGCAGTCGCACCTCCAACGTAGCGAGGAGATTAGTCACTGCTGTCGGCGGTGGATACTCTAGGGACGAACTAAAAAAACAAGTACGAGTTCAAAGGCAAGATAAAATTCCCTAAGAATTGTAATTCTGTTACCATTTAATGAAAACTCTATTTCTTACTTGTACGATTTTATTTTTTCACTGAAAGTCTTCAATTCTGTCATGTCACGAACACGCATAAATTGAAACGTGAAATTGTGCTAGTTCAAGCAAAAAGGATCCATAAAACGAAATTCAACGTAAACACAAGCTTATAGCTAACGTGTCACCTTAATTATCCCATGCTTTATCTTTAAGCACTTTCTGAAACGAGGTCTTTAAGCTAACAAAAAATGGATAATTGCTTACATTCTTTCATTGTCGTCTGCTGCTTCATGTTTTACTAACACAGACACACGTGTTTTTCGTTTTTCCACTCACAATCAAGTCGCAGGAAGAAAGATATATACCCTACGAATAATATTGCATCTTCTGATTTAAGTTTGGGTCGTAAACACACTATGAATAGTATGCATGTCAGCTTCATGAATTAAATGATTTAGAACCTATCAGAGTTGATTACACCTCCCCTTGCAAATTAAACCCAGCTAAACTTAATTTTAGTCTTGCATGCTTTTATAATTATATAATTAAATTTTAGCTTCGGGTTTCTTCCTCTTTTTTCAAACCGTACGCGAAGAGAGAACTTTTGAATGAAAATTAGTTGTACAATGTAATATTAACTAATTCAACCACCCAACCCAACCAGGTGCAAAGTAGTTTAATCTAACTAAAAACCAATGCGTGGTAAAATAACCATGTCAATCCGAGGAGTTTGAAAATATTTATTTTCATCGTTTGGTTCGACCATGAAACTCCTAACTTAGGATAACACACAGTAAAGAAAAAAAAAATCGGATGCTTTATCCCATATATAGAATGAACAAAGAAGCACATAACATTCATTCTGCTCAAAGAATATAATGAACAGAGAAACGAAACAAAAGTAATGTATACAGAACCAAATATTCAGAGTCTACTTTAGAAATCATAATCAATTCAACAAGGTCCTTCTGATCATGATAAATTAGAGGAAATGGGGAAGTGGCTCAATAAATGTCATCTACTCATCTTCAGATATTTGCATAGCATTAACAATGATGGAAATATTGTTATTAGGTTAAGCGAAGCATGAAGCAGATTCTAGCGCTATTTAAATAATTTTCTTCTTAATGTTATATCTATTCCATGATTTTTTGACTTAATTATTTTACACCAAAATTTATTATGACAATTATTTAATAATAATAAATTAATTATTTCTATTTTATTATTCAATAAAAATATTAATGACTAATATATATATAATAATCACTAAAAATATATTTACATCACACCAAAATTTATTATTAACGATAATTATTTATTAAAAAAATTTAAGTTCCACATCGATAAGAGATAAGATAATTAAAGAATATATAAATAGATGATAACTCTCATCTTATAAGAAATAAGACAATTAAAAAGTATTATGAATCATTTCCTAAACTTTTAGTAATAATAGCAAAAAATATTAATAACATCATTAAAAAATATCACAAAAATTTATATATTTCTCTTGACCATTATAAGAGTCTTTACCAGTATGCAGAATAATTGTCAATAAATATTTTACGATACTATATACAATGTCTAATGTGAAAATATTGATTAAAAATTTTACAGCAATTTTTATTACCACTAAAAAAATTAAATGTCATTAAAAGTCAATTTTGTTGTTGTAGTGATGAAAAGTAACTATACTTTCTCTGCATCAAATGTTTCAAGAAAAATTATCTAAAGCAATACTAGGAATGCAAAATATCGCTATATAGATACTATATTGCCATATGCCTATTTAATCTAGTTAATTACTGATTAGCATATTGTACTCTAGAGGCTTAAACTTTTTTCATACATGCAAGGGAAAGTAGTAAAGGCAAACCATTCACTACTCAACTTAATTCAGAACGTTTGGCTTTTTTTTTTTTTTGGCTGCAGATAGATAAATGCTAGTAATTATTTTGTAAAAATTTAGTGGTAAAACTCACATAAATGATTTCTACATTTTAAAAGATACTATATATTAGTTTGTGCCTATCAGTGAAAAGACACTCTCGATCAATACACACCAAGAAAAGTAAGGTAGATTAGGCAACTAAAATAAAACTTTATAGATTGTAGGTTTTTCTTTTGAAAAATTAAATTCATATTTCATAATATTAAAACTAAACTTTGATTCTAAAAGTTGTCGGTTATCATAATAGCTCATTGGCCAATATGAATTTAATTGTTTGATATATATAATATCATCTTCTGATATATTATATATATATATATATATATATATATATATATATATACAATCTGTTGTAGAGATGATCTGCCGAGCAAGATTAGTGAGCCTCCTTCGCTGGTACGTTGGATGTTCCAAGATGGGGGTGGTACCTGCAAAAGAGACTCCGATGCTAAAGTTAGTGTTTGTATGAGTATGAGTCTCGTATAAGTAATGCACGTACCTTAGTGTGAGTTAGGGTTGCGTTGGGTCTTGAACCTAAGATAAGATATGATATGATTAGATAACGGATCTCATCTGGAGTGAGATTCCTTGAGATCAGTTATGATCTATTTAAGTGCCGAGTTAATGTCGTGCAACGCGCGTCCGAGGTCATTTTTCGCTGCGCGATGCCGAGCTCAAGCTCGACGTGACAGTACGGATAGTACAATATATATATATAT